TCCAATATTGCGGTGATCACCGCTGGAAGGGAGCCCACACTGTTCCTGACTGATCCAAGAGTTGCTTCCGTCTATACGGAAAACTAGCTTTCCAGGAGGATACTAATTCTGGGCTAAGCTTGTGGTGTAATGTATTTTGCAAGTTAAGGTGAGACTGCACTGTCGGGTCAGCCTGTATAAGAGATACTAATACAACAAAATTAGTTACAAGAACAAAAAATAATATGTAAGAACATATAAGTATTATTAATACAAAATAGAAATTAAATACCTTCTCTTGGAACTTCAGTGTTTAATTGGACTTCTTCCGATTGACTGACAGACCTCCAAGTGTTTGTGATATGAGATGTGTCGTTTGAAGTACATGGATCTCTGTCTTCGCCAGTTGATGTATTTGGCTGCCTCAACAGGACATCTCGGTTTTCCTTAATAAGTTTCCTCCTTTCTTGAAATAGCTGGACCTGTAGTACTCTTTCTGCTCTCTTTCTCTGAACTATGGTACCGTCTGGACGTCTATACCACTCGTATTTAAAAAAATAAAAAGCGGACGTCGGTGTTTTTGGAAACAGACGTTTAAAATATTCAGCCCATCTTATGAGAGTGCTTGTCGGTATTTTTCGTTGCGGAGGAGTGGCTAAATTGAGGAGATGTTTGGCAGTTACTTTTCCTATCAAGTTGATGTCAGATCCCACTGGTACCAGATCATTACGGTGGATGTTGTGAATAAGTTTTTGGAAATGGAACCCGTTCTTATGTAGGAGATTAAACAATGGATTTTTAGCTTCAAAATCTGATATATTAAAATCTGAAATTGGTGATTGCCTTTCCTGAACACTTTTTTCACTTGATGTTTGTATGGGGGCAGTTGTAACGTCGTTAAAATCTTTCAGTTCGTCCTCTGACTCTGCAGTTACTTCTGTGAAATCCTCTTTAATGTTTGTGGCAAATTCAACAGCAGTATCTTCAACATTTACTTGCAGATTTGGAGTATCTTCAAGCTCTTTATTTTCTGCTGTAATTTTCTCGCTGTTCACAAACTCGTTAACATACGATGGAAACGCAAATGGGCTCACTGAAAAATTACTGCTGCTACTGCTGATATTTGTAGAAATCGAAATATTCGATAAATTTCTTTTGGGGGAATGAACCACTGATGCAACTTCGCATGGACTACTCGATGAAAAAGACCGCTTCTCGCTAATGATGCACGCGGACTGGATATCACCATATGTCTATAAGAAAAGAAATAATGCCAAACTGCTTTTTAGCAACATTTTCAATACCAAAATATACTTTATCACATAAAGTATACATAAAATGTACTTTACAGTCGTTACACAAAAACATGTACAGATATGCGCGCGTGCAAACCTGCATGCATGGACGGACAGTTTATATGGATTATACACATATTACAAGGCTATCCCTTATGAAAAAATACACTCAATCATACGTTGACGGTCCGAAATAACCATCAAATTGAGTGTAAACCTTCATGAAACACTCAATTATGAAGGTTTACACTCAATTTGATGGTTATTTCGGACCGTTAACGTATGATTGAGTGTATTTTTTCATAAGGGATATATAAAGAATTTTAGAATGAAAATGAAAGATTAAAATTAAAGACTTTAATTAAGTGTTATATACCATTAATAGTTCCGGATCCATCGTAAGACTTTGTAATGACATCCACTTCACTAAGGCTCTACGCATACGTTTCTCCTTGGAATAAATTGAAGAATCGAGCCCCAGCAATCAATCATCGCAATCACATTGCAAAGCGGAAACACAAAATGACATTGATATAGAACCAATCTAACATACGCTAATTCAACTTATTTATAATATTTCTAGTATAATAATGGACAACTTGGTATGTTTACCGACGATTGTTGCGCGATTCTCTATAGTTGCGTTCCGATTTATATGTATATTCATTGCCAGTACTGAAAATATTATAGCTGTAACACGAATATTTTAATTAATTTTAGTACTGGTAGTGTATCGGAATATAGCACACAGATAGAATCGCGCAATAATTATAAACATACCGACTCGTCCATTATCAATCCAGAAATAATGGGTTTGTTTTTTTGCTGCATTAACTGCATTAGTATAGAGGTTATTTTATATCTTTCAATGTAGAGAGAAAAAGTAACCTCTGTACTAGTACATCCAGTACAGCAAAAAGAACACACAATTGCACGCAATGTAAGTTGAATTCGTGTGTGTTAGGTTAGGTTAGGTTAGGTTGAAACTCTTCACGTAAGAAGTACGTACTTACTTATTAGTAGATCAATGATTTCCTCTTCTGTGCCAATTTTTTTTAATATATAGCGTATGTCACACATTGTCACAATTCTCGGTTCGAGTAACTTAGGAGAACGAGAAAGATACTTCTGAAAATCGTCGCGACACCAATCGTACCTCGCGCTTGATAGAACTTGCACAGTGACGATGGTGACGAATGATGCAATCGCGCAGGCTAGTTTCCGCGGAATCGGAAATGTTCGTACCTCTTCGACAATATTCGTTGTCGATTTCAACGGTTATTACCTTTCATCGGATATACCATTACTTTCTCCTCTTTATCCGATGAAAATTCAACGGATATACAGAGAGCGACTAACTTTTCGATAAAATTTTCTCGACAACTGTATTTCTTCGGATAAAGGTACCCATCATTTAATCGGATAACAAAATTAACAATCGGATACGCTATTTAATCGGTTTATCCTATAGAAATTTTTCTCAGTGTACAGGAAATTGTTTTCCATGTAAGGTTGTGTTGTTACATATATAAGGTAGAAAACAAAAAAAGTATAATAAAATATAAATGAACATAGTAAAAAAATGTAATAAAAATTCAATATGAATAGATAAAATATAAAAAGATACGACTGCGACTGAGAAATTACTCCTTTTTTTTATGGTATCGTACTCTCTTACATTCAAAAGATCTTCGCAATGACTGTCTTTTAGGTTTCTTTTTTTCGACAAGAATGTCTCGTTTGAAGTTCCAATAGAAATCAGCCATCATATTCACATCCCACCTTCCTTGATATCGATGCTCTATTGATTTCATGTCCTGATGAAATCTGAAACTGCATTTTTTGGATTCTCATATAAACTACTTCCCAGTATATTTAGATGATTTTAGCGAGAAACAGGGAGAAAAAAATTTTTTTGTGGGGCTGTGTAATTAAAAAATGGTAAGTTTACAGGATCGTGTATTTTAAAGCAGAGAATATATTTATTTATGAGAGAATATATGTATTTTAAAGCAGAGAATAAATTCCTTTTTTACCGTGTGCAAATGAGCGGTGTCCACTTGCGCCGTGTCCAACTTTTCGGTGTGCAACTTTTACCGTGTGCAAATGAGCGGTGTCCACTTGCGCCGTGTCCAACTTTTCGGTGTGCAACTTTTATCGTGTGCAAATGAGCGGTGTCCACTTGCGCCGTGTCCACTTTTCGGTGTGCAACTTTTACCGTGTGCATATGAGCGGTGTCCACTTGCGCCGTGTCCAACTTTTCGGTGTGCACCTTTTACTGTGTGCAACTGAACGGTGTCCACTTCTGCCGTGTCCAACTTTACGATGTACAACTTTTCGAAAGAACGGTGTCCATTGGCGCCGTGTTCAACATTATGGTGTGAAACTTTTCTGTGTCCAAAATTTCTGTGTCCAAATGAACCGTGTGCAATATTCCGTGTCTATTTGCACCGTGTCCATTTGCACAGTGTCCATTTGTACTGTGTCCAAGTGAGCCTCTCCCGAGGAGAAAGCAGAGAAAAGGAGGTAGGAGAGGAAGGAGAGAGAGAGGAAGAAGGGGGTATAGCAAAAGAGTTGCGGGAGAAACATGATGTAGGAGGAATCTTTTGAGGCTAGAAACATGCGAGTAGTGTAATGCATGCATGCATGTGTCAGTAGATAAAGGGATAATGGATTTGACATTGACAGAACTGTTATTCCATAGGGAAGAGAGACAGAGGGCGAAGAAGCAGGAGAAGAGGAGAGAGAGAGAAGAGGAGAAAAAAGGAGGGAGAGAGTAGGAGAGAGAGTAGACGAAGAGGAGAGAGGAGAAGGAGAGAAGGAGAGCAGGAAGAGAGGCGCGGACGAGAGGGGAGAGAGATAGGAGGTGAGGAGGATGGAGAAAGGAGGAAGTGGACACGGAAGGAGAGATTGGATAGAGGAGTTGAGAGAGGTGGGAAGAGAGATAACAGAACAGATGAGAAGGGCTGTTCAGTATCAACACGAACAGTATTCGTGTTCGCGCTGTCCTTTCGCGTAATAAATAGATTGTATCGTTCGTAAATATATTGGTTTATTCGGTCTTAAAATACGCCACAAATTCACAGTGTCTCGCACTCGCGATAGAGATGCCCGCGACGACGTCTCAGGGCTGTTGCCCTGGGTCGCGGACGATTCGTGTGTAACGCACTTATTGTTTTTGTTTATCGTTTGTCATAACGATAAGTTATTGGCCCGGCGACGACGTCTCAGAGCTGTTGCCCTGGGTCGCGGACGATTCGTGTGTTCGGTGACGACGTCTCAGAGCTGTTGCTCTGGGTCACCTTCACGGATGCTGCGATTCGCGACTCTCACTGACTCGATCACGATTGATTTCCTTGATATTCTCGACGCGAGTATGCACGTAGGAGATCGTTCTGTTCTGACTTCTGTACTGTATTGTGTTTTTTGGACTATCACGTTCGACTATACAGGGTGATTCAGAACAACCACTTGTCCTTAAAATGTCGTATTCTAAATTTAATTCTGAAATGATTTTTTCTCTTGCAAAATTTTCTCCGAAGCTTAGTTTTTGAATTATAAAGAGGAAAAGATATCGAATGACGGGCCAGATACTAGTGGCAGGCAGGAGCGGCGCGGCTCACCGTCGTCGCGGGCGCTTACGGCAAGAGCGCCTGCGACGACGCTGCCATCAGCTGATCGCGACGCGCTAGTACACACACACGCACACGCACACGCACACGCACACGCACACGCACACGCACACGCACACGCACACGCACACGCACCGCACGCGCACGCGCACGCGCACGCGCACGCGCACGCACACACACACAC